CTACAGAGCAGCACACCCAAGCTGGGCCTACGTTCTTTGCGTGTACCCTTGAGCCACAAATTATTTTGCAAGTGAAGTTTTGCTCCGGTTATGTTACGAGCACCATCGATGACGGAATGTAAATTGCTGAGGCCCATTCCTGGACTTTGTTCGCTACGTTCCCGTGAAGTTTGAGAGATCCCCTTTCCATGATGCTCTCTACGAGTTTGCAAGCGGACAGCTGAAGATACTCCAGAAGGCCGTGAGTGATGTCGCTGTGAGCGATGCCTTGAAGGTGGTGCAAGACTTGCAATCACTGGGTCTGATTTTACTCACGCGATTCGTCATCTACAAGCAGGAGATATCATCCGATCTGCTGCTTGACTCAGCACGTCGCGAGAGCTGGGAAAGACTTGTGCAGCTTCAGGAGCACACTTTCGGAGGAAGCCTGGCCTGCAGAGGCATGCACTTCGCAGTCTTGGACGTACTGCCTTCTGTGGTAGCAGGACAGCTGCAGCTGCCGTCTTCTGGTGAGATCAACAGGGCCTGTCGCACGAAGGCCATGGAGTTCCACGAAGACAAGTGCTATCAGGTTGACAGACGGAAGCGCCGAAGTGTATCTCCAGAAGAAGCCACTCGCATGATGCAAGCGGTAAATGCAGCAAAGGAGTTCCTCTCATGCGAGTCCAATCTCGAGGGTTTCAAGAACGATGTGCAGCGCCTTTTTCTGCGTGAGCTACAGCCATTCAAAGACCCACGACTGTCTCACGTGCAGATGCTCATCGATGAGCAAAGGTATGGCGTCCTGAACAAGATCCTTCTTGACCTTAGTAACGTGGACAAGCAGCTCGCTAGCAGAATGGGCATACCCCTCGAGAGCATGTGGGCGGGAATAAAGAAGCTCTTGATTCAAGATGTGCGGAAAACACAAGAATCAGCGCGTGCAAACTGGGAAGGAGGACTATTTCGAGAACTTCATGAGGATCTGACGAAGTTGAGCGTTGCCAAACGTGAGCTTGCGCCGCATCCGGATATTGTTCCGAACAGCATCATTGAGGAAGCTCGGGCAAAAGTCGAAAAGAACATCAAGGATGTAGGCCTCGCGGCACTAGCCTGCCTAGAGAGGCATTCTTCGCTTGCCTCGGCAATGACACAGATCTTCCAGTTTGGATCGCATCTCATCCGCCTCGCTCACATCTTTACCCACCTGAAGGACTTCAAGGTACAGGCAGAGACAGAGGTGACTCATGCTTTGAATGTTTGCCAAGACAAGCACTGGGGTGCCAGCTTCCTGATCGAACTGGGCATGAAGCTAAGTTTGGGTAAAGTTGGAGACCCCAAGACTGATGCAACCGTGGCAAGAATCATTGCGAGCGAGTTCCCGCACTTCGAAAGCGTTCGCACAGCCGTCTTCAACCGCGAGACTCGTGTCACCCAGAGAGATGTCGGTGAGACGCTGAAGGTTTCTTGACTGCGTTTGTGAGACCTGCACTTGCACCAATCCCTACGCTCCCACCTCTTTGCATGCTTCCTTGCAATGTTCTTCTCAACAGGAGCGCTACGTACGTTGTAAGCGCATGTTGAGACATGATGACAAAGACAGCTTAGGACATTTGTTCTGTGGATGTTGGCACAGACGGTCGCCGGAAAGACAGACCGGTGCCTATCAAGAAGCTCCGCGAGGGGTTCGAGGAATACAGCGCCGCGTTCGATACTCATTTGAAGGATTGGATTGCCGGTGATCTCACGCCAGACCAGCTTGCAAAAACCATCATTGAACGTGCAGCCCGACTGCGTTCAAGCAGGCATGGCATCTGGTCACCCCAGAGCAAGAGCGAGTTTCCACAACTGCTTGCGGCAATCTTCGTCCTGTATGCCATCCTCAAATCGGGTGATGCATACGAGCGCATGGATGATGCGGCTACGCGGAGGTCCATTCGCGATGTGGACAACGTTGAGTCTGCAACTCTGCAGGCTCAGGTGGGGCTTCGAGAATTTGTTGCTGCTTTGTGCTTGCCGATATGGACATTTTATAGTTTGTATAGTCATTCTCGGTTGTTGGACCTCGTCAGGTTGCGTGGTTAACTTTTGCCCCGTGTCAGCTGCTGCAGCGGTTCTAGTGATACGTAGGTGCATGACTCTACATGCCTACTACTTGCCGGTGTTCATCCATTGGTTTTGATGCTAGTGCTAGTTACGATTGGATCTATTCGCAGCGCGTGTTTATTCTGTACTGTGGCATTTGCTGTGGCTCTGGCTGCTGTTGTTGTTGCTGTTGCAGAAGAGAAGTGTGGCTACAGTTTAAGTTTAAGCCGT